TTCCCTGAACCCCTGCCCCGTTGGTTGCCCAGTGCTGAGGGAGAGCTTGAGTGTTGTATGGTTTGAAGGATGTGGAGATGGGTTTCAGTTCCTCTGTCCTGCATCCTGCTGTGTCTCCTGGTCTTACATCTAGGCATCTCTGAGGGAGCATGGCTGTTCCAGCTCTGATTCTAGAAGAGTATGGTTATCCAGAGTGCCTCTGGTCAGTGGGTCACGGTCAGGCTGTCCATATGATAGCCTTTCAGGAGGCAGGGTCAAGGTCAAGGGCTCTGGTACTTTCTCTTTCTGCTCCGATGAGAGGTTTATCGAGGCTCTATTCTGGACCACTCTGAGGATACCCTCAGACAAAATGGACTCAGCTCCTGCTCTCATAGAGCTTCTGATTTACTGGGCAAGCCAGATAGGGAGCAAAAAGCATACCCAAATTATCATGTATTGTCTACTGCGAGTTCTGTTTAGAGTGAGTGTAGACTAATAAGCGGGAACCAGGACACCTGCTGCCGCTTATCAGCAAAGGTGACTATAAGCCCATCCAGCTCTTGGTCTCCCCATTTGTGAACTCCATTCAGCTGTCAATCATGGCTCACCTTTCAAGTGCCAGACCTGTGTAAAGCAAGATCCTGCCTCCAGGAAGTTCTCAGTCAAATGTACGAATGCTTACACCAGTCAGATACATTCCATACTGGTCAGTAAGTTTTTCGCTGGAGTGGCACATGAGAAGGGTGAGCAGAGGCGAAGGACCAGGCCCCACATCTACCAACATTTTTGAGCACCTTGCTCTATGCCAGACACTCTACTAAGTGCTTTACCCACACTGTGCCTTAATTTAGTGAACACTTCAGAGCTTTCTTGCTCTGCTGTGTAACATTGACCTTTCAAGTTAAAAACAAGTCCTCCCCCCCTAAGCTAAGTGATGAAGTTTGTGTTGGGTGTGTAGGCAGCTGTCCTTTGCCTGTATGGGGCCCAGCCGGGCGTGGGTGCACCTTGAAGTGTGTATTCATTGTCTGTCTTTGGGGCAGGGGTCCCGTTCACTAGAACTTTGTTTTTCTTTCTGGCACATCTCTTTCTCTGGTAATGTGGACCCTTAGTGCAAAATCCTTGTAATTTCTTATGCTATAAGGCAGGGGAAACAGCCCAGAGGGTACCTAATAGCCAGGTGTTATCCTGCAAACAGCTCGAACTCCTGTCAGTGAGTCTTCGGTGGGGGAGCTCTTAGAGAGTAACAGGGGTTTAACTCAGCTTTCTTAGGCAGAGCTAGATTTGCATGTAGGCTCTCACTTGCTGGCTCTGTAATCCTGGCTGAGTTACTTAACCTCACTGAGCCTCCCATATGAAATGAGGATAATTTAGTTATGTATCTTAAGGTTGTTGTACTGCTTAACTGAGATAGTACATCTCCCAAGAAGTGTTTAATGCAGTGCTTGGCAAGTAGATGATTAATGAATGGTGGCTGTTATTATTAGTCTTTTTTCACTTTTTTCTTTCAGGGAGCACTGTGTGGGTGCTCAAAGGGCCTTTGGGGATTCCTGACTGAAACAGTTTTTGCCCTGGGGGTGGTGATCTTGGGAGGGAGGTTTTGGGGCCCCAAGTCCTTCTGAGGTTCCCAGTGCAGGCCTTTGGAGCTCTTTTGTGCTTGGAGAGCTCTTTGTAGATGGAGCTGGAGGTTGGATTAATTTTTCATTCAGCCTTGGGGTTTTTTGCACTTAACTGTTCTCTCTGCCTGGAATATTCTTCTCCCAGATATCTGCATGGCTAGTTTCTTCACCTCCTTCAGATTTTTGCTATAATAACTCCTTCTCTGTGAGGCCTTTCCTGACAGCTCCATTTAAAAATTAAAGTCCCTGCCTCATATTTCCCTGTTTAATTTTGTCTATAGACGTTCATTCTCTCTCTCTCTCTCTCGCTCTCTCTCTCTCTCTCTCTGTCTCTCTCTCTCTCCACCACTAGAATGTAAATGCCACGAGGGATTTCTGTCTATTTTGTCTGCTGATAATTGCTCAGCACCCAGACTAATACCCAGCAGAGTAGATGCTCAATAAATTTTTGTTGAATGAATGAACAAATGCAAGAAAGTAATTTCTCTATTAAGTCACAGAACTGGGATTCTGAAATCACTTTGCAGAGTGGTTACAAATGCAGTAGAGCAGATGAAATTGAACAGATTAATGCAAAACACTTGCTGCGCAAGTAGTGGTTTGGTGGAAAATTCATGTATTCGTTAGAACTGGAAGGGACAGGCCATGCATGACATGAGGCTTGAGGAGGAGGGTGACATTGTCAATTAGTATATTAAATATTAGTCAGGGTTTTTTCTTCTTTTAAAAAAAGATGATATACATATAAATGGAACTTTGGATTGGATTGACTTGCTTATATCCCTTAGGGCACAAGCATTTCACTGTAAAGATCACCGATTTAGCGTAAAACTTTCATTTCCCCTGCTCAGAGAGGGGAAGGGACTGCCCATGATTTCACAGTGAGTTAATGGTTAGAATGTTTATTCATTCAGTGTTTATTAGGCATTCATTTCTTAACTAATACTGCGTTAGGTCCTGGGGATGCAGTGATGCAGGGTCCCTGTTCTGGACCCCACCAAGAGGACATGAACTCAAGTTTTTTGACTCCAAATCCGGTGCTCTTCCTTGTACTCGACATCACTCATGACAATTGATTGCTTTTCCAAATGAACCAGCAGTGCAGTGAGGCTACTCAGAGAAACTGATGCAATTCTTAGGTTGCATTAGTAGAGGCAGAGCATCCAGATCAAAGGAGGTGACTGTTCTGCTCTGCTGTGTTGTGGCCAGACCAGCCTGAAGTGCTGTGTTCTCTTATGGGTTATTCGGACTGCCTTCTGGGGCACCTCAAGGGCTTGGCCAGCCCCCTGATTCCCTGCTGTTGTCCTTACAGCCAGGCGGGCACCACGGCAGGGGCTGAGCCACCCTCATGGAAGGGAGAGGACCGTACCGGATCTACGACCCTGGGGGCGGCGTGCCTCCGGGAGAGGCGTCCGCAGCTTTTGAGCGCCTAGTGGAGGAGAATTCCCGACTAAAGGAAAAAATGCAAGGGATAAAGATGTTAGGTAAAGCAGACCCTGCACTCTCCCCGCAAGCCTCCTCCTTGTAGCCTGCAGTGCCAGCTGGCATATGCCTCCACCCACATCATCCCTCTGTCCCTCCTGGCCCCGCATTGGCTCCTGCCCCACAGCTGTGTCTTTATGGACTTCCGTAGCATGGTGGCAGCATACCCAGCCCTAAGTCCCCAGCACTCCCGACCGTGATGGCAGGACTCAGAATACCGTGAGGGACTGAGAAAGAAGCATGGGGTTGGGGAGAGAGAGCTGGAAGGCTCAATTTGTGGATGTGGAAAAAGAATGGCCTCGTCTTCCAGAAGCCCCAGAAAGGGGGAGAGCTGACATCACCGGGGCAACCAGAGTATGGTCCCCTAGTGTTGGCGCAGGGAGCTGAGCTTGGCTTGAAGCAAGATGGGAATAGGTCCCTTGATTTCTCTTTTCCTGGGTTTTGCTCAGGCTGTCCCCACTGCCTAGAGCAATCCCACCTACCTCCACATGCCCGACTTGTCCCCGTACACAGCACTTAGCTCAGATGCCATCTCTTCCTCCATGTGAGACATTCATTGATTTCTCTGTCCAGAGGGGTCTCTCTTTCCTCCAAACTCCTAAACCCTTCCTTTGCCTTGCTGCCACCTTCTATGGGCTTAGGCTTCGGGGACAGGCCCAGCCCCCCGTTTTCCAGATGCTTTCTCCTTGCTTCGCAGATCTCTGCGGGATGGCAGACTGGGGAAGGAGGGGTGGAGTTTCCCCTCCCTCACTTGTGGAGGAAGGAGACCTGAGGCCCGGGGTGGTTGGCATTGCTGAGGGTCTCATCCCTTCAGGCAGTCCCTGACTTTGGGGGCGTAGGCTGTGAGTAGCTCCCGGGTGCCATATGGTAGGCCTAAGAGAGCCCCTGGCTTTCTGTGGAGTCCCGGCCAGGTGGGGCAGGAAGATGGGGGGGGATGGGGTGGGGCGGGGCCACGGGGGGTGTGTCCCCACC